ATTAATTATATCAAATTATTTACCTCCTTTAAAAACTCATCAGAAATATTTTGAGAGTTTTTAACCTTTTTTAATGCTATAATACCATTACTACAATAATATCTTTTATTATTATTAATATATCTAGGACCATTTGACCAATAACACTTGTACACAGTTGCAAAACCACCTTCACCTATTCCTTCTTCAAATGTGAGTTGGTCATAAGGAATCCATTCAAGATAATGATAACTATCAAATCCTTTTGCTTCAAGCTGTGTGCTTCTGATTATTTCATCTAATTTGTTGTTACCACTGCTAGTCCAACTTTGAGCTAACAATTTTGGATCACATGATTGGCACCACTGGTAATTAGTATTATATCTTGCACAAACAAAACAAGTTCCATTTTCTACTTTTCTTTCTTTAAACCCCTTAGTGTTATCTTTATTATTCATTATAAAAAAATAAAACAAAATAGAATTATTTTTCAACATAATAAAAATAGACATTCATTTAAAAGTTATAAAATACCTTCAATTGTTATTATAAATGCAAAAAATAAATTTATTTAAATTAAACAATGTTATTTTTATAATATAATATAATATTTACCAGCTGGTTATTATAAATAAATAAAGAATATTTAATTAGATGACGTTATAAAAATTTATTTTGTGTTGTAAAAGTTACTTACATGCTTGTTATTATGTTGTTATAAAGAAAAGTAAATTTATTAATTAATTGATGTTTTAATAAAAATTATTTTGTGTTGTAAAAGTTAATTTTATAATATGATACTTACTCCCTGGTTATTATAAAAAAGATTTATTAGGTGATCTTTTAATAAAATTTATTTTTGTTAATTTATAATATAATAATATACTACTTACCAGCTGGTTATTATAAATAAATAAAAATAAACTTATTAATTAGATATAAACTTATTAATTAGATATAAACTTATTAATTAGATATAAAAATTATAAAGTTGATTCATGATACAATATAATACTTACCAGCTGGTTATTATAAAAAATAAAAAAACAATTTTATTTAGTTGTTATGGTTGGCTCGGTCTAAAGACCTCCTATTGCTGCGCCATGCGGCCAAATTTTAAAATAGCAATTTTGTAATTCGTTCAAAAATGGAATAAAATTTTTCAAAAAATAGGACTTCACGTGATTTTAGTTTTCTTACTGCCAAATTTAGATACGATAGTCAAGAGCTAGTCTAAATTTGGTAATATTTTTTCCTAAATTTAGAAATGATCATAGTGGACAAATTCCTCGCAAGCATAGTAAAGTACATGTTTTAAAAAAGAATAGAACTCTACAACAAATAATTTTTTTGAGAAAATCTCTCTATTAC